GGAAATTCACAGTATGGTCAAATGCTCTAAGAATAGGATAACATCCCATTGAACGATCACCAAGTTTTAACCCTCCTCAATATTTGCTAATCTTATTGCATCTAACCTTCCTACTTATTCCTACCACCACCCCACCAGTCACGTTTGAAGAAAAAAATTTTCAAGAAAAAAGGGAGGGTGACCAAGCTCGCCTAACAGTATAGACTTCAAACTGACTCTCCTAAAAGGAGTAACTACTATCCAAATACCGACTATCCAAAGGGAAAAAGGCAGCTTTGAGGTAAGGGCTGCCCGCAGGAGATTCGGAAAGTGTAGTCCAAAAGATCCACAGGGTGAGAGACAATTCAACTTCCCCAAAACCGCCTGTAAAGTGAAAATACTTAAGTATACAATAGAGACATCTAAGAAGCATTTAGCATCCAGGAAGGCCCCCGCCTTCCTTCAGGATTCTTAAACTGAAATACAATTCACCCTCGTTGCAGCAGCCAGAACTTCCGTCCCAGAAAGGCGACAAAATGGCCTGGGAACTCTGGGAAGTATAGTCCTAGAACACTACTGGTAGGATAACTTCCGCTCCAGGAGGCGGAGGCTGCGTTCCTGCTCCCGTCGGGAATTCTGGGAAGCGTAGTCCAGGAGGTCTCTGTAGGCAGAGTCACTTCCGCTCCAGGTGCTCGCAGCTGCGGCCTTCATTCCTCCCGGAAAGGTGAGCTCTCACTTCCTTGTGTCCCTCTCCCCACGCTCACATTGACCTGTCTTTGCTTTGCTGTGGGCCAGTGGTGAGCAGGGCCGGTCCACCTGGAGGAAGAGAGTCCGCCTGCGGCGAAGGGCGGGCTTGTGATCCCTTTAAATGAGCCTGTGGAGCTGTGGGGCGGTTGATGCATCCCCGACTTAAGGCCCTGACCCGGGTCGTATAGCGCTGGGATTCAGGGTCTCTTTAGCTCTGTACTTTCCCAACCGGTTTCCCGATCACCGGCCAGCGCTGCTGCTTTCTGGCAATGTAATATTCGGAAAGCATCTTAATGTCTCTGTCTCTGTTTCCTCTTCGTTAAGTTGGTGTTGGTGTGTCTACCTAATAAAGGTATTTTGAGAGTGTAGAAGTAAAAGACGGAGAACCTGGCTTTTGATACACATACGTTTGTTGTTACCGGCACTTTGTAATTTCCGGAGAAGCGCGTAGTTCCCTGAAAACTTCTGTGAACCCGGGATGGGGTCAGAGCACCTTGGTCCTTCTCTGATCTTTGAAGAAAGCGAGGCTGTATCTGAATTTCTAATAATGCTTTTAACTTTAATTTTTGGAGAGGGTCACTCTTGGCTGTTGTCTGGGATATCCACTGTAATGTATGCGGGAGTTGATGAAATTCTAATTTTTCTCAGCCTCCTTTTCTTCCCAGCCTTGACTCCTTAAAGAAGGCTGCAGGGAGGAGCAGAGCCTCACCTGAGGATTTAGTATATTTCTTCCTTCTCTATCTCTTTGGGGAGACGATATTTCCGTCACTCATCCGCAAATTCTACTTCGACGATGCAATGATATTTATTGAATAATGCAGGGAGGGATGGGGAGTACTTGGGCATGAGTAATAACGATAATGTTTAAACATTGGGTGCTAAATATTATTATAGAAATTTTATGTAAATTAGCACTTAATCCTCACAAGAGCCCAGTGGAGGTCAGGGTTACTGCTAGTCTCATGTTAAAGATGAGGGAATGGAGACCCGAGAGCGAAAGTTGTTTATCCTAAATCACATAGCTAGTAAGACACTGAGCTGGGATTTGAATTTAGGCAGTTTCAATCTATTATCTTAGTTCTTAATTTGTTTAGTATCTGTTTGAGAAGGCATATTTTGAATTTTTGTAGAAGGCCATGAAAGCTATGTCATTGAGCTTTGAGGTGTTTTTTTTTTTTAATCCTCACTGGGGGACACTTTCAATTTTTTGTTCAGATAGAGTGGGAGGGAGAGAGAGAGGAAGAGAGAGAGAGAGAAACATCGACGTGAAAGGGACACATCGAGTGGCTGCCACCCGCACGACCCAACCAGGGCTGGGGACAAACTGCATCCGAGGTATGCACCCTTAGCAGGAACCAAACCCCGGTCTCTCTGGACCACAAGCCCACGCTCTAACCGCTGAGCAACCGGCCAGGGCAAGCCTTGAGTTTTTTATAAGATTTTTAAAAGGCATCTGCAACTTAATTGTAATTTATTTGAAATAATATTTATAGTTCAATTCTGATTATAGAAATGATTGCACATTGTAAAGAATTAAGAAAATGCACGAAGTATAAAGGAAAAGATTCAATTACCCGTGACCACAGGATACAGAGATCATAGTATTTTAATGCTTTCCTGTTCCATAGATTTATTTTTGGGTTTTTACCTAAAGTTTTACAAAATAGGTATCATAGGTTTTAATTTCCTTTTAAGTTTTTAATGTGGAAATTTATAATAATAGTCAAATGTAATAATAAATAATGAACCCCTGTGAAACCATCACCCAGATTTAACCCTTGTTAACATGTCGGTCTTGTATCAATCCCTACCCCTCCAAATTTTCATGTTCCAGTATTTCAAAGCAAATCCCCACAATTGAGTCATTATAACAGTGATTGATTTATTTTTTTCATAATTGCCAAATATGGATCATCATATATTGTTTTTATCCAAGACCAAGAAACAGAGAGGTTATTAGCTACTCTAAGGTGTTTAGTCTTTGTAGACTGGAGTCTGGAACTTACTGAGACAGCTAAGGGACACAAGAGTGTTGTTGCACTGTGGAGAGTGATGATGATGAATTTTGTTTTCTCATATCTAGTTTTACTTACTTGCATCTTGGGGCTCTTTGTTGCTTATTTCTTTCTTTCCATACCCTGAAAGTTCTTTCGTTGCTGAGTCCATGTCATATTTTCCTCTGTGTACAAGATTGGCAAGGGTTTGTAGTTAGAGTAGCTACTCAAAAGATAGCTGGCATCAGGGGTTTGCAGTTCAGAGTTTCTGAAATTTGAATTAGATAGCAAAATGGAATAGAAACGACCCTTGGGGATATTTCTTAATCTCCTATAATATTGGTGAGCTATAGAATTCACCAACTATTTCAGAGTATTGAAAAGTTAATGAGTAATTATTTTAATGTAATTTGATTATTTATGTTTTGTTTTTGTTTTTTTTAATCCTCACCCGAGGACATTTTTCCATTTTTTGTTCAGACAGAGCGGGAGGGAGAGAGAGAGAGAGAGAGAGAAACATGGACATGAAAGGGACACATCGAGTGGTTGCCACATGCACGACCCAACCAGGGCCGGGGACAAACTGCAACCGAGGTACGTGCCCTTAGTGGGAACCAAACCCAGGTCTCTCTGGACCGCAGGCTGATGCTCTAACCACTGAGCAAAACCAGCCAGGGCTAAGGTAATTTGATGATTTAGAACAAATGTTCTAAGAACCACATTGGTAGAAATGATGATAGCTAACAATAATATTGTGTTTTATGAGTGAGGCAGTGTTTCCAATGGTTTATAGATATTAATTTCCTTCTCCTAACAAACCTGTTATTACTTTCATTCTACAGATGAGGAAACAGGTTTTTTTTGTTTGTTTGTTTGTTTTTTAATCCTCACCCGAGGACATTTTTCCATTTTTCACTCAGATAGAGTGGGAAGGAGAGAGAGGAAGAGAGAGAAACATCGATGTGAAAGGGACACATCAAGTAGCCGCCACCCACACGACCCAACCAGGGCCGGGGACAAACTGCAGCCAAGGCACATGCCCTTAGCGGGAACCGAACCCGGGTCTCTGTGGACCGCAGGCTGACGTTCTAACCGCTGAGCCAAACCGGCCAGGGCTGGGTTTTTTTTTAAGAGACAAGTATCATATAGCAAAATTGACCCTTTTTTTTCTTTAAGGGGTAAAATTTTATTAATTTTAACACAGGTGTAGATTTATGTAATTACCACCATCATCGGCTACATAACAGTTCCATTACCCCTCAAAACTCCGCTCCTATTTTCCCTTTATAATCACTCCTTACCATATCTGTAACCAGCCACCAGTAACCACTATAACCCTATTGTTTTGTCTTTTTGAGAATGTCTTGTAAATGGACTCATATCAGATAGAACCTGTTGAGGCTGCATTATTTCAGCATAATGTCTTTGGCATTCATCCAAGTTGTTGTATTAGTATTTCATTTGTTTTTGTTGTTGGTTAATATTGTATTTATGGACATATCATAGTATCCATTCGCCCATTGAAAGATATTTGGGTTGTTTCCAGTTTGGGCAATTATGAATAGGCTGCTATAAACATTTGTGTACAAGTTTTTGTGTACAAGTTATCTCTAGAATACATAATCAGGAATGGGATTGCTGGGTAATATGGAAAGTGAATGTTTAACTTTATAAGAAAGAGCCTAACAGTTTAATGATGTTTGAGAGTTCTAGTTGCTCCACATCCTTGTCAACGCTAATTATTGTCTTTTTTAATTCTAGACATTCTAATTAATAGGTGTGTATTGGTATCTTATTATAATGTACATTTCCCTAATAACTAATGATGGTCATCAAATATATCTTCTCTTCAGCTTTTTTTTTTTTTTTTTTTTTTTTTGCCAATATTCTCAGCTGTAAAAACTGTCCCAGTCTCTCAGGTTGTAGTGAGGATTAAATGAGGCATTTCCTCTAAAGCACAGAATTTGGCTCTTGACTTCTCACCACCTTTCTGTTTCCTCATTTGCCCAGGTACCCTCTGACCTGCTTTCTGTTGGAGCACTCTGATTAGCTCTTAGGGCTAATACAGGTCTGTCATTCTCCAGGGCTAAAATTAGGCCACATTTTCTCCATTGAGCCCATCCAGCGCCTTCCCTTATCCAGTCTGGGTTTCGGAACCCCTTCCATGTTCTCCCAAAGGGACCTGCTCAAACTCTACTCTGGCATCTATCAGTGTGTGTTATACTTGCTGATTATCTCATTGTTCTCTCATACTAGGCTCTGAGCAAGTACAGATCTGGGATTTATATCCCTTTTAGAAGGTGATCCATAAATGTTGGGTAAGTGAAAGAAAACTCAACTCTTTCACTGCTGATTATGTGGCCAAGTTAATACTTATTCTTGGTAGTTATGCATACATGCTGTGGATTCTACAGCAGTGGCCTTGTGGGACTTGGGAGGGGGTGGGTACTATACTAGAGAAGCAGAAAACCTCTCTATAGGGTGGTGCCTAACTCATAGCCCAGGATTAGCCCTTTTTTGAGTTCTTTTTCACAGATGACCTTGACATTGCCTAGGAACAGTAAATAAGGTCAATAACAGTAAATATCTGTTGAGAACAGTGAATAATCTTGAGGAAGAACTCAAGAAATTAAATTCCTGGTTTCCTAATCCTTCCAAAGGTCAAGCACTGAGCACTTTTCACAGATGACAAATGTAGTAGCATCATGGGCTTTTAAATTTTTTGTTTTCCCTTAATTGATTTTACAGAGAGGAAGGGAGAGGGAGAGAGAGACAGAAACATCGATGAGAGAGAACATTGATTGGCCGCCTCCTGCATGCCCCTCACTGGGGATCAGGCCCACCACCTGGGCATGTGTTCCAACAGGGAATTGAATCAGTGACCTCTTGGTGCATGGGTCAATGCTCAGCCACTGAACCACACCAGCTGGACATCATCATGGGCTTTTTAAACCTTTCATTATATCCCTGTGGGAAGAGGGTGTATCATTTGAATCTCCTCCAGTTTTAGGAAGAATATTCACCAGCCATTAAACCTTTCAGAAGGGTGGTCTCAATATATATAATAAACATATATTATTACCCAGGCCACAAATTCAATAAAAAGACATAATGCCACACAATGGAGTACTATGCAACTGTAAGAAAGAAAGATCTCTTATCCTTTGAGACGACATGTAGGGACCTGGAAAGTATTATCCTAAGTGAAACAAGCCAAGCAGAAAAAGACAAATACCACATGATCTCACTTATTTGTGGAATATAATGAACATAACAGTCTGAGGAATAGGGTAGACCCAGAAACATGGAAGTAGGGTACAGACTGACAGCCCTCAGAAGAGAGGGTGGTAGGGGGAAGGAAGAGATAAAGATACATGCAGAACTTATATGCATGTATGCATAACCAATGGACATGGACAACAAAGCTGGGGACAGGGTGGGGGGGGAGGGAAGGAGGGTGTCAATGGGGTAAAAAAGGGGAAACATCTGTAACAAAAATAAAGTTAAAAAATAAATTAAAACACACACACACACACAAAAAAACCCACATAATGCCACCTGGCTGATGTGGCTCAGTGGTTGAGCGTTGACCCATGCACCAAGAGGTCAGCGGTTTGATACCAGTCAGAGCACATGCCTAGGTTTGGGCCCGATCCCCAGTGCGGGGCATGCAGGAGGTGGCCAATCAATGTTTTCTCTCATCGATCTTTCTGTCTCTCTCTCTCCCTCCCTCTTTCTCCCTCTCTCTGAAATCAATAAAGAAAAAATTAAAAAAAAAAAAAGACATAATGCTTGCCACCTAGATGTCTTACAAGACACACTTGTAAGGACAGTTTTATGATGTAGAGTAGTATCTGTTTTTCTGCAGCTACAAGATAATAGAAAACATTGGCATGTTTTCCACTACTCACCCATATAATTCTAACAACAATCTTATAATGTTGGTGCTAGTATCCTAGTGTTGAGGATCACAGAAATGAAGCACAGAGAGGTTTATTAATTTAACCATGTATTTAAACATATATAGCAATGCCAATATAATGTAAATGTGCAGCCAATATATAACAATGTCACCAGAGTCCAATTTTAACCAGCACATTCCACCACCTCTCCATTCCCACATTTCCCAGCATTAGAACGAACACTTCAGCAACCACGAGGTGCGTGAGGACTGCTGGGTGTAGCCGTGGAGGCTGTGGCATGCATGCAGGCATCCTGAAGAGCTTAGTGGTAGCTGGAATCCAGCCAATACTCTGCTTGCTAAGGTGTATGTGGCAGCATCTGTCTAGGGGAAGGGACACCCTCTTCCATTTTGCACAAAGATGTGTTTCCCTTTCTCTCATGGCTTCTTTCTTTTTTTGTTGTGCCTTCTCAGGTCTCTGCCTTTCCCTAGGAAAAGAAGGAGAAAATGACCAAGTCTCAGGTGAGTTGGATCTTTATGTCTGTCACTTAATAATGCTATTTCATTTCTCAGTAAGTGGATACCTTTTTTCTCTTTCTTGGCCAGTATAAAGAATGACAGTAGACATTTAATACCACTTACATGGTATGCTTCTTGTTTTACTTTTTAAAAAATTTTCCTTTTTGTTTTTTTTTAATCTTCGCCCAAGGAATTTTTTTTGTTTTTTTTGGTTTATTTGCATTTATCTTCAAATAGAGTGGGAGGGAGAGAGGGAGGAAGAGAGAGAGAGAAACATCAATGTGAGAGAGACACATTGACTGGTTGCCACCCACCAACCCCAACCAGGGTTGGGGACAAACTGCAACCGAGGTATATGCCCTTAGTGGGAACCAAACCTGGGACTCTCTGGTCTGCAGGCTGATGCTCTGACTGCTGAGCAAAACCTGCCAGGGCTTCCTTTTAGTTTTTAAAATCACTTTATTTCACAAATAATAGTGTAAGAGAGACTAGAAATTTAAAAAAAGAAAAACCCACAAGCTATTACACTGCTTACAAATCACCTCCACCCACCCCCATGGTCATTTTTATGTGCATTCATAACTATACTTGCAATAATAGCTACAATTTTATTTTACTTTATTTATTTATTTATTTCCTTTATTGATTTTAGAGAGAGAGGAAGTGAGAGGGAGAGAGAAATAGAAACATGGATGAGAGAGAACATCGATTGGCTGCCTCCTGCATGCCCCCCACTGGGGACTGGGCCCACAACCTGGGCATGTGCCCTGACTGGGAATTGAACTGGTGGCCTCTTGGTGCATGGGTCGACACGCAAATGCTGAGCCACACCGGCTGGTCTACATTTTCTCATTGCTGTCCCTCTTCCATAAACATCTGTGTGTTTGGTGTTGTAGGAGCCAGTGATGTTCAAGGATGTGGCTGTGGTCTTCACCGAGGAGGAGCTGGGGCTGCTGGACCCGTTCCAGAGGAAGCTGTACCGAGACGTGATGCTGGAGAACTTCCAGAACCTCGTCTCAGTGGGTGAGGACAGGCGCCCTCTGTTAACTCAGTGTCAGCTTCTTGGGTGTCTTTGTGTGCTCAGTTGTTTGAAGCTCTGGGACTGCTGAAATTATTCTCTGAGCTTGGGCATCTAAGAGTCCTAATAATTCCCGTGTGACAAAGTCAAGACAGTTCTGTCCTTTGAAGTAGAAATGAGCACTTTGTGGTCTTGCCCCATTGGTTTGTCATGAAATCAGTTTAGTGAGTTGCTCCAGCTTTTTGTTTTTCAGGATGTCAGTAACTGTTTATTAACTTAATTTTTAGAGGTATTTTGTTTCTTGCTTTAAGAATGTGTTGGTAAGTAACTTTAAACTTTACAAAACGTTTAAAAAAGTAAAAATGTAGCACAAGAACACCCAAATAGCTTCTACCCGGATTCCCCTGTAATAACATTTTACCCCTTTGCTTTATCACTTATGCTCATATTCTTTCTCTTTCCATATAATTTATGTATATATATGAAAATATATGTATATTCATAATACTTTTTTCCTGAACCATTTGCGGGTAACTTATATGTTCCATCTCCCTATATCTCCAAATACTTTAGTGTATATGCACAGTTTGGGAGTCCTCAAGACTGTACTCTCTCAGACACCAATTGTAAGTTCAGGGGTCCCCAATAATACCCTGAGGCTTGATAATTAGCTGGGAAGACTCAGAACTCACTGAAAGGTGATATACTCATGGTTACATTTTATTACATGGAAATGAAATAGGTTAAAATCAGCCAAGGGAGGAGACACATGGGGCAGAGCCCAGGAGAGTCTCTAGCACAGGTTTCCAGATGTCTTCTTTCAGTGGAGTCGTGGACAGCATAGCTCTTCCCAGCAATGAGGTGTGACAGTACACATGGTGTGTTACATCCGAGCCTTGGTGTCCAGAGTTTTTATGGGGCTTGGTCATGTAGATGTGGTTGGACACCTGTGTGGCTAACCTTAGTTTCCAGCCCCTCTGGAAATCAAGCTGATATCACATGGACCAAAGTCCCCACCATAAATCACATTGTTAAACTATCTGGTCTGGCCCAAGGCCTCTGGGTAAGAAAGGCATTCTTATTAAGTAGGACATTCTGAGGACTTAGGCATCACCTTCTGAGAGCTGAAGGCAAAAACCATACCTATCTTTGAGCAAGGTTAATTCTTTACTGAACAGTGTATTTTGTAGAAGTAAGTACCTTTTCTTACATATCCCCAGTGCAGATAAAATACTTTTCATCCACTCTGTCATTTATGCTCTTATTTTATCAGCAAAGCCCATTCTATTCCTTACAGCATATTTTTATCCCTCTAGAGCAAGATCTAGTCTAGAATCTAGTCTAGCTGTCATATTCCTTTGACCTCCTTTATTATTTTTTTTTTCAATTTATAAAATTTTTATAAATATTTTTAAAATATTTTTTATTGATTCTTTTGTAGAGAGAGAGGAGGGAAAGAGAGATAGAAACATCAATGTGAGAGAGACATTGATTGGCTGCCTCCTGCACGCCTCTCACTGGGTATCGAGCATGCAACCCAGGCATGTGTCCTGATCGGAAATTGAACCTGGACCTCTCAGTCCATGGGACGATGCTCAGTCCACTCAGCCACACTGGCCGGTCTCTTTGACTTCCTTTAATTAGCAACATTTCCACAGCATTTCTTTATTTTTTATAATAGTGACATTTTTGAAGAGTACTGTTACCCATTCACCAATTTTAATAGAACATTTCTAATATTTCCTCATAATTGGTCCAGATGATCCTCTCTGGCTGGCACTGTGATTGGTAGTGGGGTGTCCTTTTGAGAGTATCACTTATAGCCCTGGCCGGTTTGGCTCAGTGGTTAGAGTGTCGGCCTGTGGTCCAGAAAGACCCGGGTTCAGTTCCCACTAAGGGCATGTACCTCAGTTGCAGTTTGTCCCTGGCCCTGGTTGGGTAGTGCAGGTGGCAACCACTTAATGTGTCCCTTTCACATCAATGTTTCTCTCTCTCTCTCTCTCCCTCCCACTCTATCTGAACAAAAAATGTAAAAATGTCCTCGGGTGAGGATAAAAAAAAATAAAGCAAAATGAGAGTATCACTTATAGAGAGGCACACCATCTGTCTCGGGGGTGATGTCAGTTTTTTTTGTTGTTGTTGTTACAGATGTTTCTCCTTGTTTTACCTCATTGACACCCTCCTCCCCATACCCCCTGCCCTGTCCCCGGCTTTGTTGTCCATGTCCATTGGTTATGCAGGTGATGTCAGTTTTGGTCACCCAGTCAAGAAATTAGATGTTGTCCAATTTCTCCACTATAAAATTACTGCTGTTTTTTCTCTTGCAATCACAAGGCAACACTTTTTTTTTAAATCCTCACCCGGGGACATTTTTCCATTTTTTGTTCAGATAGAGTGGGAAGGAGAGAGAGGAAGAGAGAGAGAGAGAAACATCGACATGAAAGGTACACATCGAGTGGCTGCCTCCCGCACGACCCAACCAGGGTCAGGGACAAACTACAACCAAGGCATGTTCCCTTAGTGGGAACCAAACCTGGATCTCTCTGGACTGCAGGCCGACGCTCTAACCACTGAGCCAAACTGGCCAGGGCACAAGGCAACACTTTTTAAGGTGGCACAAATATTTAGCATCCAGTGATGATTCTTGCTGTATTTAGTCTTTACCATTATAGTTACAAAATCATGATTTTCTGGCCTAGTATGTCCCTCACATTTAGCAGTCAGAACTTGACATTCTACAGTAAGCAGGACCACCCCCCATTCATTTATTTTTTTATTTTTAGGTGTTTGTGAAATCTTTTTAAAATATGGCTTTAATTATTTTGGTGCTAAACTTGTACCAAATCTGGCCCTTTGAAGCTGACTTTTGTGCCCTTGTAATATGCCCAACAATTTTTTTTAACACTTCTTTACCTTATTGTTCATCTTTTATTTTGCCCCAGATCTGGAATTATCCATTTCTTTTATTAGAGAATGGTGTTTAACACCAAGGTCTAGATGTTAAGTATTATCATTGCCATTAGTGTTTTTGTTTCTTGGTCTCAGGGACTAGAGCTAGGAGGTAGGGGGATGTGTGTATATGCACGCATACATGTGTTCATATACATACACATACACAACTACATGTGAATATATACACATGAATAGATGTTCAGTTTTATTCAAAATAAGAGAGATGTTGATTAAAATTATACTTGAACTATCATTTCTGACCCGTGAGATTGGCAAAAAATTTAAAACATTTTTTGGACAAAGCTGTGGGAAATAAAACACTTTCATACATTGAAAGTAGGAATGCAAAATGATACAACCCCAAAGGAGGGGCATTTGACAGTATCTAACAAAACTGTGTATTAACCTACCTTCACTGGTGTAGTTAAGTGGTTAGAGCTTCATTGGCCTGAGCACCGAAGGTTCGCAGGTTCAATTCCCTTCAAGGGCACGTGCCAGGGTTACAGGTTTATCCCAGGCCTTACATGTATGGGAGGCATCTAATTGATGTGTCTCTCATCGATTTCTCTCTCTCTCTCTAAAAAAAAATCAACAGAAAAAAATATCCTCGAGTAAGGATTAACCAAAAACAAACCAAACTATGTACTAACCCTTTCCTTGCAGTTCACTTCTAGGAACATTTCCTAACGATAGCAAAGTACAGAAAAGCACTAATAACACTATAATTTCTGTAAGAAAGGAGAAGTAAATACATGTATCTCTGCTTATCTTTATTAGAAGAAACACAAAAGGATTAATAAAAAATAACAAAGTTAGTTTTTATAGGGGGTGGAAGTAACTGGAAGGAATGTTGAAGAGAGTCACACCTCTTTGAGTATATCTTTTTATCTAGTTTGGACTTTGGAAAATATGTTAGTTTAACACATTGTAAATTTAAATTAGAATGCAAAGGGATGATCATCTAAAACTAAAAGAAAAATGGAACAAGTGAATTCAGTTGTATTTGAAATTAATACCATAACCACATTGAAGAGAAAAGAAAGAACTCATAGAAGTAGCTAAGGAACACAGTATATACCCAGTATATATAACTATATACCCTTAGTTTAGGTACAGTGGAAGAGGGAGGAGAGAATGAATTGCAGTCCTGAACACTTTCAATGGGTTTGTTTTTATTTTATTTATTTATTTTTTTAATTGAATTTTACAGGGAGAGGAAGATGGAAACATTGATGAGAGAGAACATCTATTGGCTGCCTCCTACTTGCCCCCTGCTGGGGATTGGGTCCCCAACCTGGGCATGTGCCTTGACCAGGAATCGAATTGACGACTTCTTAGTGCATGGGTTGACACTCAACCACTGAGCCACATCAGCTGGGCTCAATGGGTTTGTTTTTATAGTGATATATGGAAGAAGCAATTCTGAAACTATTTTATTTTTATTTATTTAGAGAGAGAAGAAGGGAGGGAGAGAGATTTGTTGTTCTACTTATTTATTGGTTAATTCTTTTATGTGTCCTGACCAGGGATCAAACCTGCAACCTTGAGGATGACACTCTAACCAACTGAGCTATCTGGCTAGGGCTGAAACTCTTTTAGATGTATTGTAGGTGCCAAGGCAGTTCATTGGAGAGGTACAGTCTTTTCAACATTTGGAACAGAAACCTTGGGTGTCGATATGCGTCTATTTGCATGTCTTAAACCTCACAAAAAATTAACTCAAATTAGACAAGAGATCTAATGTAAATCTAAAAGTATGAAATTTCTTTTAGAAGGAAACATAGGGAAAAGATCTTTATGGCCTCCAAAGCATTCTTAGGACACCAAAAGCATGATTCAGAAAATGATAAGTTGGACTTCCAAATTTACAAATTTTGCTTTCCTTGCCTTTTTATAGGGAATCAGCCTTTCAAACCAGACCTTATATTTCAGCTGGAAAGAGAAGAAAAGCATTTGATGATGGAGACAGAAACCCAGAGAGATGGGTGTTCAGGTGAGACCTGTCCAGCAATAACCCAGCGGCCAAAGCACCCTTCCTAGAACAAGTCAGAACATATCATGTCTCTGTTTCAATTCTGAAGGCTTTCCATCTCACACATGGTAAAACCTAAAGTACGTAAAGTGGCTATTAGGCCTTACGGTTTCTGTGCCCTCCGCATCCTCTAGCTTTCCGTATTTTCCTACTATTGTTTGTTTGCTCATTCATTCTTTCTCAGCTGCACTGCCCCATTGATGCTTATCAGACCTGTCATTTATGCTTCCACTTTAGGTTCTTTGGCTTGATTTTCTCTGCCTTCAGTGAATGAATTGGTTAATCAATCCTCCCTGAGATAGCTAGCTAGTAGGTATAGAACAAATAAGTGAAATCAAAGGATACTCCAGAATTGTTTTTTTGTCATCTGATGAATGCTTGTCCTAATTCTGTGTAGGTGTCTTTGATTATTCATATATGTGTAGCAATTACTCCTAAAAGATTAAGAATCGCTAATCAACTAGAGGAAGTATCAAACATGATCAGAGCCAACATTATAATTGACCTTCCCATGCAGTAATTTCAAGTGAGACACTTTTACATTGGCGATAACTTCCATATTCATATGCCCAGGTCTTTATCTTCCCATTCTGTCCTCCTCACCCCCTCCCACTCTCTAACCCTATACTTCTTTTTTACCTAACTACACTTTTTTAAAAATTCTCACCTGAGGATATTTTTTCCATTGATTTTTTTTTTTTAGAAAGAGTGGAAAGGATTGGGGGAGAGAGAGAAAAACATCACTGTGAGAGAGACATGTTGATTGGCTGCCTCCCACATGACTCTGACCAGGGTCAGGGACAAACCGCAATTAAGGTACGTGCCCTTGGCCGGAATCGAACACATGACTAGTCCATGGGCCGACGCTCTAACCGCCGAGCCAAACCGGCCGGGGCTTTCAGTGTTTTTTTGCAGTGTGTATTTTCTCCATCAAAAAAAGTTGATACATAAATTTGACTTAACATAATTTCTTATCAACACTCTACTGTTGATATTAAAATAGAACTTAATTGTAGAGATATAGAAAGGAAATGACAAGGAGTGTCAGTATTCACCACTGACTAACGGAAATTAAAGTTAATCTTAAATATGTGATCTTTTCCACAAGAGGTTGAAACTAAGTGAAATGATATTTCCCCCCTCTATGCCTTTAACATTAATACCACTGGTCAGAAAGAAACTTTAATCTCTTTTATATATTTGAGAGATTCTTATGTCTTAAATTTTGTATGAATTTGTATTGAAATTTGTAAGAAATTGGGCTTTCCCTGGCAAGCTTCTTTCAGGTCCTAAAGCCATCATGTCAGTCCCACAGATACAACATGTTAAACTGGATCTTTATGGATGAATATTGAGTGTTTTTGATGATACCAAAACAAAACTATAACAATTAAAATGAACTCTAGGTGAAAGTCCAAACTTTTTTCATATATGCTATTTACTTTTTCTGACATGCCTCTTATAGTATGCCTCATTTCACCTTTAGGTGATAAAATATTAATGTAACAACTGAAGATTTACTTTTCAGAAGCTAGAGACATCACTAAGAATTTTTTTTAAGTACTAAGATCTTATGAATGTGCCCTGAGTGTTACCTTGCTATCAATGCAGGGTAGTATTCGAGTATAACATCACACAATCATCGGTGTGGCTTTTAACTTTTATTTTTCTTTTTTAAGTTGAAGATAGGGAACTGCTACAGGTAAGATTTTGTGTGAGGAAAAACAAACAGCAAACCAAAGATTATTTTATTTTTTATTTTAATTAAAAAATTCTCTTTCTTTGTTGATTTTAGAGAGAGAGGAAGGGAGAGACTACTAGAGAGAGACAGAAACATCATTGAGAGAGAACATCCATTGATTGGCCACCTTCTATCTGCCCCCAGCTGGGAATTTGGCCCACAACCTGGGCCTATGCCCTGACTGGGAATCGAACTGGCAACCTCTTGGTGCATGGGTCAATGCTCAACCACTGAGCCACACACGGCCAGGCCTAAAGGTTATTTTAAAAATTAAAAAGATTTCCCCTGGCCAGTTTGGTTCAGTGGTTAGAGTGTCGTTCCGAGGACCAGAGAGTCCTGGGTTTGGTTCCCACTAAGGGCACGTACCTCGCTTGCAGTTTGTCCCGGGCCCCGGTTGGGGTCATGTGGGTGGCACCCACTCGATGTGTCCCTCTCACATCAATGTTTCTCTCTCTCTCTCTTCCTCCCTGTCTCCCTCCCGCTCTATCTCAAGATAAATGCAAAAATGTCCTTGGGTGAGGATTAAAAAAAATTAAAAAGATTTGCTCATCTGGGTGGCTCAGTTGGTTGGAGCCTCATTCCATACAACGACTTAAAAGAACTTATTATTCTTATGAAAATAAAAATAGCTCATGAGATCGTAGACTGGTTTGGCTCAGCGGTTAGATCATTGGCCTGTGGACCAGAGAGTCCCGGGTTCCACTAAGGGCATATACCAAGGTTGCAGTTCGTCCCCAGCCCCAGTTGGGGTCGTATGGGTGGCAACCAGTCGATGTTTCTCTCTCTCCCTCCCTCTCCCTTTCTCCCTCCTGCTCTATCTGAAGATAAATGCAAAAAAAAAAAAAAAAAAAAAGAAAGAAAGAAAAGCTCTGAGAGATAGACCAGATGATGCCTCAAACATATTTTTAAGGTTTAAGTTTACCAAACATTACCATGCCCATGTGCCAGAGAAAAAAGAAAAAGTTATTATCAAAATGAAAAGCATTTGTCCACATGAAACAATATTCTTTCAATTTGAGACTTTCCCCTTCTATTTTCTCCTTGGCATCTCCAGGAAACCTCTGAAAATGTGTATGCTTTTACTAAACATGCCACCATCTTTAATGTCCAGCTTATGTTGCAAAGCCCTGATTTTGAAGCTTGCTGATAGCCCCAGTTATATGAATGTAGCCAAAGAAGAGCCACTTTCTTAGTATTCTTAGAGGTAGTCAAATAAATATTCCTTTAATTCATTGAAGTTTCATGTCATAAACTAAGTGCAAAATCTTGAAATCTCTGAATAAAAGCATTCACAGTGTACATGTCTAAATTCTCTTTTTCCTTATAGGCACCAAGAACCAACATAATATGGAAAGTATTCAAGAAGTGGGATTAAGCTACTTTTCTCCCAAAGAGCTTTCCTTCTGGCAAACCTGGCAACAAAGTGCAGGTGGGTTAACCAGGTGTCAAGATTCCATGAAAAATTTTCGAAGGAATATTTCTAAGTTGCAAAAACTAGGTGATTCTCCCTGCCAGATTTGGGCAGGAATGCCAGTTCAGATTTCTGAAGATGGGAACTATATATTGACTCCTGGAGGGGATGGTTCTGATTACATAAAAAAACAAGAATTTTCATCTTGGAAAACCCAGCATTCTTGGAGGAAAATGTATCTGATAGGGTCACATAATTATCAGTGTAGATGTCAACAAATTTCCATGAAAAATAATTTCTGTAAGTGTGAGGGGGTCAGTTGGATTGCACATGATAATGATAATCTGAGAGTACACAGAACAGAAAAAAAACACAGCTGCCATGACTGTGGAGAAGACATTATGAAGATGTCACTGCATAATCAAGATTTAATTCAAACAGGACAAAAGCCCTACCCCTGTAATGAGTACAGAAAAGCCATCAGTGATGACTTCAGCTCTGAGGTTCATCAGCAATTAGACTCAGAAGGGGAGCCCCGTACATACAGCCCACAAGGAAAGGGCTGTAGTTATAATTCAGTTCTTCATATTCATCAGTATGTTCATAGAGGAGATGATTGTGTTTTTCAAAGTTCACATCTACAATCTCACCGGAGAGAACATACAGAAGAGAAGCCATGCAAATGTGAATATGGTGAGAACTTGAGTCGGTGCTCCTCTCTTAACATGTATGGACTTATTCAAACAGGAAAAACATCCTATAGTTATGAGAAAGCCTTAGGTGATAGCTTAGACCTCAGTGGTACTTTTAGGGTTAGTACTGGGGAAGAACCCCATAAATATAAGGAGAATGGGAATGTCCTTAATCAGAGTTCTTGTCTGCAAGTCCATCAGAAAATCCACACTGAAGAGAAACTATACACAGATGTGGACTGTGAAAAAAGTTTCATTTGTAGCTCAAATCTTAACATTCAGCATAGAGTTCATATGGAAGAGATTCCCTATAATTCTGAGGAGTGTGCTAATGGCTTCAGTCTGCCCTCACCTTTTCAGGACCTTCAAATAGTCCACCCTAGGGAACAACCATATAAACATTATTCATGTGGTAACAGACTCAGCCAAAATTCATATCTTCAAGGCCATCAGAAAACTCACATTGGAGAGAAACCCTATAAGGAGTGTGGGAATGGCTTCAATTGGAGTTCAAGACTTAAAGATCATCCGAGAGTCCACACTGGAGAGAAGCTGTACAAATGCAATGCTTGTGGTAAAGGCTTCAGTCATCGATCAGTTTTTAATGTCCATCAGAGAGTCCACACAGGAGAGAAACCTTATAAATGTGAAGAGTGTGATAAGGGATTTAGTCGGAGTTCATACCTTCAAGCCCATCAGAGGGTCCACACTGGAGAAAAACCATACAAATGTGAAGAGTGTGGGAGGGGCTTCAGTCGCAGTTCATACCTTCAAGGCCATCAGAGAATTCATACTGGAGAGAAACCATATAAGTGTGAGGAGTGTGGGAAGGGCTTCAGTCGGAGTTCACACCTTCAAGGCCATCAGAGAGTACACACCGGAGAAAAACCCTACACATGTGAGGAGTGTGGAAAGGGATTCAGTTGGAGTTTTAATCTTCAGATTCATCAGAGAGTTCACACAGGTGAGAAACCTTATAAATGTGGAGAATGTGATAAGGGCTTTAGTAAGGCCTCAACTCTTCTGGCCCATCAGAGAGTTCACACAGGAGAGAAACCCTACCAGTGTGATGAGTGTGGTAAGAGTTTCAGTCAGAGGTCATACCTGCAAAGCCATCAGAGTGTCCACACTGGAGAGAGACCATATATATGTGAGGTGTGTGGCAAGGGCTTCAGTCAGAGAGCATACCTTCAAGGTCATCAGAGAGTCCACACGAGAGTGAAACCATATAAATGTGAGATGTGTGGAAAGGGCTTTAGTCAGAGTTCACGCTTTGAAGCACATCGGAGGGTCCACACAGGAGGGAAGCCATACAAATGTGAGGTGTGCACAAAGCGCTTCAGTGAGAGTTCACGCCTTCAAGCTCATCAGAGGGTCCACACAGAAGGGAGGCCCTATAAATGTGAACAGTGCGGCAAGGGTTTCAGTGGGTTTTCAAGTCTTCAAGCCCATCACAGAGTCCACACTGGGGAAAAACCATATAAATGTGAGGTGTGTGCGAAGGGCTTCAGTCAGAGATCAAATCTTCAGGCTCACCAGAGAGTCCACACAGGAGAGAAACCATACAAGTGTGATGCATGTGGTAAGGGTTTCCGTTGGAGCTCAGGTCTTCTAATTCATCAAAGAGTCCATAGCGATACATTTTATAAAAGTGAGAAGTATGGTAAGGATTATCCTTCATCAGGGAATCCATACCGAAATGAAATCCTATAAAATGGTATTTTCTTTTGTTTTGAAGTTCTTAAAAGTAGAAAAAGACTTTTCTTTAATGAAAATGTGATGTTTCAACCCAACCTCAACATTCACAATAAGAGACCACACAGCAGACATCTAACAAGAGATTTTCATAAGAGATTTTGTAACAAATATGGCATCAGTCATTACACATGACTTTAGCTAGTTTCATAGGGCTTATAAAAGATAAAGAGTATGGTCAGCAGTTTAATAAAAGTATAATGATGAGCATACATAAATCAATATCCACTAGAATATAAGCTTAAGGGGAGGAGCTTCATTCATTGCTAAGTCTATAAAGCCATGACATTGCCTAACGAAATGTACATGCTCAGTTCTTTTTGCTAAAGGACAAAGTGTATATTGAAATTTTTATTAAGCTTCACCCCCCCACCCCCCCACAATCATATGTATTTGGAAGACTGCAAGTAACCTTAATATATTCACTTCAAGTAGATAACTATTATTGGGAACATGGAACATCAAGCAGTATTGCATCCTGTCCTGTATGCCATCTTAAGCAGGGATGAGGTAAATTTACCATTTGGTCTCTTTCTGTATACTATCAGTTTAAATTTAGCTCTGTGTCTGTGTCTGTGTCTGTGTCAGTGTGTATGTATGTGCACTTTAAATGACAGTGCAAACTGATAATGTTTCTGGTTAACTTTTAAAAAATGGAACACCGCATTTTACATCATTGAATTTTTAGTCTTGCCTGTGTGTTAAGGCAGAATTTTACTGTAATATTTGACGAGTGTCAGAAATGGGTACTAATGAAAAATACTTTCTTAATAAATTACAATTCTTGTTTTCAGTCTCTATCTTTCCATCAAAGCTCTTTGGTCTGACTGAGTTCTAAGAGTTATAACCTTTATCCAATTCAACTTCCTTAGGCAGGATCTGTGATGTGTTTGGAGGTCTTTAATTTTGTCAAGTTTTCCATTCCCATACTTTTCCCACTCACACAAAGAAAGGGAAAATATTGACATTTTAAAAACATTATGTCAAACATATTGATTATGAGGATATAATAGCCTTTATTTCATGGTCTCTTTCTTCAAGAACAATGTATGTTGTTGGTGGGAGTGAAAAATATAAGCTTTTTAGAGAACAGTTAGTCATACAATATATATTAAAATGTCAATCGTGTAACCTGGCCAAGCAGCTCAATTGGTTAGAGCATTGTCCCTATCCACCAAGGTTGTGGGTTCAAACCCTGGTCAGGGCACATACAAGAAGCAACCAATGGCCCGGCTGGTGTGGTTCAGTGGGTTAAAGTATCATCTCATGTACCAGAAGGTCACTGGTTAGATTCCTGGTCCGGGCATGTACCTCAGTTGCAGGTTCAATCCCCATCACTGTCAGGTGCGTGCAGAAGGCAACCAATTGATGTTTCTCTCTCCCTGCCTTCCTCCCTCCTTCCCTTCCACACTCTCTAAAAATCAATGGAAAAAATATCCTCAGGTGAACATTTTTTTTAAAAAGCAGCAACCAATGAATGCATAAGTGGAACAACAAATCAATATTTTTTTCTTTCTCCCTTCATCTCTCTCTAAAATCAATCAATAAAAAATTAATTTTAAAAAACTTTTAAAAATGTCAAATATGCATACCCATCTGGAAATCATAAAATTTATGATAATATAGAAAGGATGTGTACATTGAGGGTGATTTTTTTAAAGTGTAAATACATAGGAGTTTGGATAAATTTTTTTATGTTCCTGTAATATGGAACTTCAGAAAATACCAAAAAGATCTAAAATGACAGGAAGGGATCATGCACGTTGTTTAGTGAAAATGTAGATTGAACTTCATAATATCCAGTTAATTTAAGTCTGTATACATATATATTCAGACACATGCTTAATAGATAATATATGAAAGATTATCCACCATCATGTATACAGTGGTTTTCTCTGGCAAGCAAAAGTATGGCTTAGTCTATTTTTCTGTGTGTTTATTTCATTTAAAAATTATGAACTCATACTGTGACTTCTCTGTTTTATTAGATAGCATTATGGCCAAAATTAAAGAAGAAAACCTCTAAAGGTAATTTTCTAAATTTTCTAGATTTTTGACAGTTTAATTAGGTGTCAGCAACATTATCTTTCTGTGAAAATGTTTTAGGTCTGAAAGCCCATGAAGCCTAGATCCTGGTGCAATTCACTAGTATTATAAATTGGTGCATCATAGTTTATGTGTCAGATTAACCTCCATTAGATGAATATGGTGACCAAAGCCCTGGCTTAACCTAGCTTCCAAGGTGCTAGTTCAAGTCACACAATATCAGAAATTCAGGGCTTCTAATGCATTTCTTTACTATCATTATTTCCAAGGGAAGATCATGAGAGCTCATGGTGTTTTTATCAGTTAGAGGGCTTTTAGTTGTAAGTCACAGAAAACATAACTCAGGGTTGCTTACACCAAAAATCTTTCTCAGTTCATATAAATGAAAAGGTACAAGTAGGTTAAAACTTGGTTCTGGGTTAGTCAACAGGGCTTTATATTACTTTTCTTTAATTTTCTCACCTCTGTTCTTTGGTATGACCTTTTGTCTTCATATTACTTGCTTTTTGTTCATAGCTAAGGAAAGAGAGCTTCTGCCTCATTTTTAGTGTTATATAGTCCTAACTTCCCAGACTGCATAAAATCTCTGACCTCTAATCCCCACTCAAGACTGAGACTAAAACGACAATAAAGAATATACCTAGTCCTCTTAAATAGGCTCTTTTGCTCCTAGTGACAAGCAATAGCAGGTTGCAGTGGGAAAAAGCAAGAATATGAGCAGAGAATTCTGTGGCAAGGTGCTCAGGACTGCGGAAAGCTGAGAGTAGAGCAGAAACATTGAGAAAAAAATTATAGTACCCAGTCCCCATGCTAAGCACAAAGTGACATTAGAAAAAATTCAAGTGATGTTCCGAAGGTAACTATTGCAACAATAGAATCCAATTCCAAACTTATTCCGGACCAGATTGATTCAACACCTCCCCCTAACATCCTAGCACAACAAGCATGCCCAGTTCCAGGCAACAATAATATTTACTTTAGTCTCTGCCCTATGATACATGTTATTTGGCATTTAGTATAAAATTACAAGGTAAAGAACAAATGAGACATTAGACTAATCAATAAAACCACACTTTAGAGATGTTTATACTTTTGAAAGGTCAGACAGAATCTTATGTAACTAGTTGATGTGTTGAATGTTATCCTGAAAAATATGAACAATATACCTGAACAGATGGGGAAATGTCAGTGGAGATTAATCAAATGGAAATGCTGGAAAAGAAAATTTATCACAAAAGGATGCTATTGAAGGATTTGCAAAGGCTCAATACAACTGAGAAAAGTGTAAGAGAACTTGAATATAGGTCAGTGGAAACCATCCAAATTAAAACACAAAATGTGTGAAGAAAAGAGTATCCAAGAACTATGGGGAAAAATTTTTTTTTTAAATCCTCACCTGATGATAATTTTCCATATATCTTCAGATAGAGTTGAAGGGGGAGGAGAGAGAAACATTGATGTGAGAGAGACATATTGATTGGTTGCCTCCCACACAACCCTTACCAGGGCCAGGGATGAACCACAACCAAGGTACATGCCCTTGACCAAAATCGAACCTAAGACTCTGGTCTGCAGGCCAACGTAACTGCTGAGCCAACTGGTCAGGACATGGGAAAACTATTTATGGTCTGATATATATGTAATTGGAAATACATGGGAGAGGAGAGAGAGAATACAAAGAAAACTAATTGAAGAGATAATGGCTGAGAATTTTCCAAAAATAATAAAAGACCCACCCAAATCAAGAACCACAGAGTACCCCAGCAGGATTTTAAAATGAAAAAAATGACACATTATTGGCCAACTGCTGAAAATGAACAATCCAGAGGGAAATACTGAAGGCAGGCAGAAAAAGGACACATTGCATGCCTGGAACAAAGGTGAGAAATAAAGTAGACTTCTCAACCAAAACTATGCAAGCCAGAAGACAATGGAATTACATTTTTTTCCCTTTTCTTTTTGTGATACGTGCCTCTATCAGGAACTGAAACCGGGACTCTCTGGTCCGCAGGCCGACACTCAGTCACTGAGCCAAATTGGCCAGGGCAAGGAATTACATCCTTAACTTCCTGAAACAAAATACTGCTAATGAAAAATTTCAAGTCCAATGGAAAAAATGTATTTGATTTTTTTTTCATCCTCACCTGACGACATTTTTTTGTTCAGACAGAGTGGAAGGGAAAGAGAGGAAGAGAGAGAAACGTCGATGTGAAAGGAGCACGTCAAGTGGCCACCACCCGCACGACCCAACCAGGGCCGGGGACAAACTGCAACCAAGGTACATGCCCTTAGCGGGAACTGAACCTGGGTCTCTCCGGACCGCACACTGACGACACTCTAACCGCTGAGCCAAACCAGCCAGGGCTGAAAAAATGTATTTTTAAAAGGAGTACAAAAATATTTTCAGACAAAAGCTAAGAGAATTCACTATGAGCATATCTGCAGTACAAGAAATAGTAAAATGTAACAACACTACCACAAAACAACAGAGAAATCAGAAGTATGCTGTTTTAAACTATACAAAATGGCATAATATTTTTAGGAGCTAGACTGAAAAATTATAAATGCATATTACAATCCCTAGAGCAACCATTAAGAAAAATTTAAAGTAGTATATAGATTATAATCCAGTAGTGGAGATAAAATGGAATCAAAAAAATACTCAATCCAAAGGCAGACAAGAAATTTGAACAAATAACACATGGTACAAATGGGAAGCAATTAGCATGATGATAGCTTCAAATCCAGTGATATCAATAATCACATTAAATGTAAATGCTTTATATACACCACTTAAAACAGATTGTCATATTGGATAAGAAAGCAAGCCTCAACTGTGCTATGTGTTCCACAAGAAACCCATTTTAAATATAAAGGGTTAGTAGATTCAAAAACTAAAGATGGAAAAAGGTATGCCATGCTAAAACTAGTCAAAAGAAAGGTGGACTATCTATATTAATATCAACAAAAATTCATGCAAGGATATTACCAGAGATGTGCCAGGAGAACATAATCCTAAATGTATACACTTAACAGAGTTTCAAGAGTCATTAAGTAAAATCTGATAGAAAACGACAATTATAGTTGGATAACTCAGTAGTTCTCTTAGTAACTGATAAATCAAGATGACAGAAAATTAGTAAGTTTATAAAAGACTTAAACAACAGGGCCACTCAACCTGACTTTTAGAGAATGCTTCATCGACCAGTGGTTGAATCACATTCCTTTCAGCTGGATTTGGAACATTCACCAAGATAACACATGTTTTGGACCACACAACAAATCATACCAAGTTTAAAAGAAGTAAAGTCATGCAAAATATAATCTCTGATTCAAATGGAGTTAAACTAGCCCTGGCCGGTTTGGCTCAGCGGTTAGAGTGTTGGTCTGTGGTCCCGAGAGACCTGGGTTTGTTTCCCGCTAAGTGTGTGTACCTTGGTTGCAGTTTGTCCCCGGCCCTGGTTGGGTCGTGCGGGTGGCAGCCACTCGATGTGTCCCTTTCATGTCGATGTTTCTCTCTCTCTCCCTCCCACTCTGAGCAAAGGATGGAAAAGATATCCTCGGGTGAGGATAAAAAAACAAAAAACAAATGGAGTTAAACTGGATTGAGCAAGTGGTACATGTTGCCTACCACCAGGAGCAACAGTCCCAGAATGTCGCCCCACTGCTTTGTTTTTAGTTTCTGAGGTCCCCATAAATATTAGAGACATCTTTATTGGAAGATTAGGAACACAATTATGCTGATAAATTTGATAATTTAAACAAAATATACAGATTATTTAAAGACTTTTTAAAAGACACAAATTACTAAAGCATATTCAAGAAGTAGACAACCTGAGCCGTTGCCGGTTGCTCAGTGGTTAGAGCTTGATCTGCAGACCAATGAGTCGTGGGTTCGATTTCGGTCAAGGGCTTGCATGGCTTGAACACTGAAGACAAGACTTCATACTTACCTACCCTCTCACAATTTACTGTCTACATTAACATAAGTATTCAGTTGTCATTACCATGTCTTTATTCCAAGGGATTCCTGCCCAAGCAAATAGCTAAATTGTTTATTTTAGGAACTTACACTGACACCCATCAACTCTGAAATCTCTTCCAAAGAAAGTATCAAAAATTTGCCTTTGAAGAGTCCTTGCCTACAAAAATCCTTATTGTTCCCAATAATCCTGGACTTGTAGCACCATGGCCTTTACCAAGTCCCTTGCATTGAAAGAAGTCCCTTAAACTAAATTCACAATTCTCAATCAATTGTAACCTTGCCTTCCTGGCTGAGGCTTTGCTGTCAAGGTGTCAAATTTCTGTGGAAGTGGTGTTCTCTCTCACCACAATGAGCAAATAAACTCCGTTTTTATCTTATCAACAGGTGTATTGGTGATATTTGGGGAGCCGGCATTTCAAACAAGTTTGAGATCCAGTGTTCCTTAAATTCTGTTTAGGCAACGCAGACAAGGTTACTTTTATGTTTCCCATTTTACTCTGCTTCCCTAAAACTTGTGGTTTTAAAATTAGTTTCAAAGTACAACCTTGGCTTTTCTCTCCTATGCGGCCGCATTTTCAAAAACTCGCAATTATTTTTTCATAAGCTTTAAGAAATGAATAAAGCAAAAGGGAATCTGACAGTTATGCCAGAGAAGAGCCTCAATTCGCGCAGCAACTGGCGGGAAGCTCGGTCCTTCGAACTGCATTCTGGGACATGTAGTACAGGTGCGCGAGAAAACTAGGCGCTTCCTGTTGGGCGTTCTGGGAAGTGTAGTTCAGGAACAGTGTCTAAGCTGAGGCACTTCCGCTCTCAGAAGGCGAGGTTGGGTTTGAGATTCCTCGCAGTTTGGTGAGTTAACCCCGTGTCCTAGCGATACCTTTAAACCTTTGCCTCGGCCTGGGGTGAGCAGTGACTTGGTCCTCCCTCCAGTGTGAGGGAAGCCGCGGCCAGCGGCAGAGCGCGGACGTGGAGGCGGCGGCGGTGAGCATCCGCCTGGCTGAGCCTCCGAGTCGGGGCCGGCTTGCTGGTACTTGGAGTTTAGGGTCTCCCGCTATCTCCGCTCCCCCGGGTCCTCCCCGTAGGACCCGGCAGCCAGCTCTGCCTCTTTCGGTAAAATACTGGGCGAGTTCCTTGATTTCTCCCTGCCTCAGTTTCCTCATGGCAAAAGGTTACTTCTTCCCAAAGGTGTTCTTGTGAGAATTAAGTGAGGTGGTCCAGAAGAAGCTTAAAAATAGTGCCAGTGCATATTAAATGTTGGCCGTTAACCATTAGTTATGTTGCAAACTCAGAAAGGCGCCCTGTTATTTGGAAGCTCCTGTGAGCCTGGGATGGGGTGTGGGCACTTGTTTCTGCACGTGGACTCTTTTTAGCCTCTGGTTTAGTAAGGAGAGTGAACTTCAGCCGGGTCCTGGAGAAAGTCCTGTGTGGATTTTTCCGGACCCAGAAAGAATCGTGATATGGGCTTTGCAGAATGCCTGACTACACGTATAGTGAGGCCTTAATAAGTGTGCAATATTGTGTGATAAACCCGTGTTGTTGATGTAAATGCAACAAGATTTATTAGGCTTAGGTTTTGGGGTTTTTTAAATCCTCACCCGAGGACGTTTTTCCATTTATTGTTCAGATAGAGTGGGAGGGAGAGAGAGGAAGAGACAGAGAGAAACATCGAAGTGAAAAGGACACATCTAGTGGCTGCCACCTACATGACCAACCAGGGCCGCGGACAAACTGCAACCGAGGTAGGCGCCCTTAGCGGGAACCCAATCCGGGTCTCTCTGGACCGCAGGCGGACACTCTAACCGCTGAGCAAAACTGGCCAGGGCAGGTTAGGTTTTTATTAGTCATTGTTTACCCTTTTGCATATGGGACAAGAATCGTCGAGACTCTTCTTGCTTAATAACATTTTAAAATAATTACACCTTTTAAGAGAAGAAAATCCGTGGCAATTTAACTATCATTACCAACGGAAGAAATGGCCTGTGAGACAACCAGTCAGAATTATGTTTTTGCAAGGGTAAAGATAACTCTTGCTACAGAACAATCATCTCTGAATTCTGGGTTTCTTGAAAGAGTGATTTTCTGGAATATCACATTTACAAGGGCAGTTTTATGACACCTAAACTACTGCTTGGCTTCAGCTGCAGGCGATAGGGAGTGCCGGCATTATTATCCCCACATACAGGTGACTGGAGTGAGGTACAGAGAGATAAATGACTTGCAGAAGGTTTACACTGCTGCTAAGTAGAAAATAAGAAGTAGACATGGCAGAATTTGAACCCAGACATTTTGCCCCTGTTAAGTTATACTGCCTGCCTGCTTGCCTTTCATCTCCTCTAATACTCGGGCTAAGGAATATTCTGGAAGCTACAAGACACACTCGGCTTAGGGCTGTTTTAAGGAATATTCATTAACAATGGCAGCTGGCTGGGGGCCCAGAGGAAGCTGGAGTCCAGCCCCTGTTCTCACTAGGCGTTGTTGCCACTGCCTCCGCCTAGAGAAAGGGGCCCTGACTGCTTTGTGCTCCCATGAAGTGCCATGTGGACTGGCAGCGTCCCTAGCATCTCTCTCATGATGGCTTTCCCTTCCCCAGTTTTGCCTTCCGAGAACTGCCTTTCCCCAAAAGGAAGAGAAAAATGACCAAGTTCCAGGTAAGTTGGGTTTGCCTTTCTGTTTCTTAAAATGACGTCTCATTTTACAGAGGTTGGACACACATTTCTCCTGCTTGGAAAGGGTAAAAGGGGACCAGAGGCACTTGACAAATTATTGTATGCCAGGCCCTGGCCGGTTTGGCCCAGCAGTTAGAGTGTCCACCTGCCCCGGCCCTGGTTGGGTCATGTGGGTGGCGACCACTCGATGTGTCCCTTTCACGTCAATATTTCTCTCCCTCTCTCTCCCTCCCACTCTATCTGAACAAAATATCGAAAAATGTCCTCGGGTGAGGATAAGAAAAATTATTTTATGCCAGGCTCTTGCTTTGTGTTTATTTCCTAATTGTAGTGTGAAAATTAACAGGTGTTTTGTTTTGTTTTTAATCCTCACTTGAGAATATTTTTCCATTGTATTTTAGATAGAGTGGAAGGGAGGAAGACAAAGAGGGAGAGAGAGAAAGATCAATGCAAGAGAGATACATTCATTTGCTGCCTCCCACAGGACCCCAAGTTTGGGCTAGGGATCAAACTTGCAACCCAGGGATGTCTCTCTGACTGGGAATTGAAAACCCTCAACCCTTTAGTCTGTGGGCTGATGCTCTAACTGCTGAGCCAAACTGGTCAGGGCAACGGGTATTTTTTAAAAAGAAAAAGAAAATAACTCCCACTTTATAAACATGTTTACAAATTTGCTGTTTATTTTCTCAAATTTCTTTTTATTTGCATTTACAAGTATATGTTTGTAATCACAGCTTATCATTTTGGATTTTTTTTTTTTATCCTCACCTGAGGACATTTTTGCATTCATCTTCAGATAGAGTGGAAGGGAGAGAGGGAGGAATAGAGAGAGACACATCGACTGGTTGCCACCGACATGACCCCAACCGGGGCTGGGGACAACCTGCAATTGAGGTACGTGCTCTTAGCGGGAACTGAACCCAGGACTCTCTGGTTCGCTGGCCGACACTCTAACCTCTGAGCAAAACCAGCCAGGGCCCATTTTGGATTTTTGAAGTGTAATTTTACATCACCTACAACTTAAATGGCCACATCATTTTTCACAGTGTACGTAATATTTCTCCCTTATTTATGTGGCATATGAATTTCACAATTTTAAAGATGTTTGCAGTGACAATTTTCTGAAACCTTTCTACCCAAACAGGATTTCTGAGAATTCTACCTTTTTTTTCCCTCTCCTTAGAGTAATAGGGACTCAGTTTCCTGAACATCTTGTGGAAAAAACATCCAAAGTATGGCTTGGTGCAACCGAGTCCAGTTGATACTGAACTCAGAGAAAATAATTTTAGTTGTTTTCAAACAAGAAGAGCTAGATTCTTTCTTTAATTTTGAGTTTAACCATGTATGTATCATAGTTAAGTTTCTGTTTTATTCATTGACATGTAGGTATGTGTGTATATATATAGAGATATACATATCTATATATACATATATAGATATATAGATTTTTTTTTTTTTTTTTAATCCTCATCTGAGGACATTTTTCAATTTTTTGTACAGACAGTGTGGGAGGGAGAGAGAGGAAGAGAGAGAGAGGGAAACATCGATGTGAAAGGGACACATCGAGTGGCTGCCACCTGCACGACCAACCAGGGCCGGGGACAAACTGCAACCGAGGTACATGCCCTTAGCGGGAACCGAACCCGGGTCTCTCCGGACCGCGGGCGGACGCTCTAACCGCTGAGCCAAACCGGCCAGGGCAGATTTTTTTTTTTATCCTCACCCAAGGACATTTTTTTGTTTTTTGTTCAGATAGAGTGGGAGGGAGAGAGGAAGAGAGAGAGAGAGAAAAAAACATTGATGTGAAAGAGACACATCGAGTGGCTGCCACTCGCACGACCCAACCAGGGCCGGGGACAAACTGCAACCAAGGTACGTGCCCTTAGCGGGAACTGAACCTGGATCTCTCCAAACCACAGACCAACACTCTAACCGCTGAGCCAAACATGGCAACATGTTAGTATATTTTAAAGAAGTACATCCTTGGTCTAGTAGCACCAGGGACTTGCCAGGCCTTTATTCCATAGAACAGCCTTGTGAGGATATAGATGGTCTTGTTTGATTATTATTATTGATTTTAGAGGGGGGGGGGGGAGAGAGAGAAAAATATTGATTTGTTGTTCCACTTCTTTATGCATTCATTGGTTGATTCTTATATGTGTCCTTACTGGGGATCAAACCCGCAAAGTTGGCGTATTGGGATGACACTCTCACCAACAAATCTACCCCACCAGGGCTTGTTCATATTTTAACATAAACAGATTTGTGAACTTCCACATTTCTACTTGAAGTCCAGTCAGTCCCCAGCTGACACTTCTTTTTTTTTTAATTTTATAATTTATTTTTTTTACAGATGTTTCTCCTTTTTCACCCTCCTCATGATCCCCTCCCACCCCACCCTGTCCTCAGCATTGTTGTCTCTGTCCATGGTTATGCATACATGCATATAAGTTCTGTGGTTTATCTCTTCCCTCCCTTCTGACCCCCTATTCTGAGTTTTGTCAGTCTGTACCCTACTTCTATGTGTCTGGGTCTTTTTTGTTCATCAGCTTGATCAGCTTGTTTTATTCATTATATTCCACAAATAAGTGAGATCATGTGATATTTGTCTTTCTCTTATGGGCTTCTTTTGCTTAGGATAATACTCTCCAGGTCCCTCCATGTCGTCTCAAAGGATAAGCGATCTCTTTCTTACAGCTGCATAGTATTCCATTGTGTATATGTACCACAGCTTTTTTATCCACTCATCTACTGATGGACACTTGGGCCGTTTCCAGATCTTAGTGATTGGAAATAGTGCTGCTGTGGACATAGGGGGACATATATTCTTATTTATTTATTTATTTATTTATTTATTTATTTATTTATTTTCTTCACCCAAGGACACGTTTGCATTTATTTTTAGACAGAGCAGGAGGGATAGAGGGAGGAAGAGAGAGAGAGAAACATTGATGTGAAAGAGACACATTGAGTGGTTGCCACCCACACAACCCCATCTGGGGCCCGGGACAAACTGCAACCGAGGTACATGCCCTCAGCAGGAACTGAACCTGGGACTCTCTGGTCCACGGGCTGACGCTCTAACTGCTAAGCCAAACCAGCCAGGGCGGAGGTACATATATTCTCTCTGATTGGTGTTTCAGGCTTCTTAAGGTATATTCCTAAAAGTGCGATCACTGGTTCAAATGGCAGTTCAGTTTTTAACTTTTTGAGGTAACACCGTATTGTCTTCTATAGTGGCTGTACCCATCTGCATTCCCACCAGCAGTGTACTAGAGTCCCCTTTTCTCCATAGTCTTGCCAGCACCTGTTTGATAGTTTGTTGATGGCAGCCATTCTGATAGGTGTGAGGTGATACCGCATTGTTGTTTTACCCAGCTGACACTTCTCAACCTAAAAATAAAAGGCCAACGTTAGAGGCAACAGGCTTTCATTTGAGATCCAAAAGGAATAGCTATTAGGGAAGCAGAGATTCAGGGAGAAACCCAAATAGTGTTCCCATTAAGAGACAAAGGGAAGGAGTATTTATGAGAAGGAAGGGAAATAATTACATGAATAGAAGAAAGGGATTTCTTTGGGTGTTAGTAAGCTAAGGGTGGAATTTCTGTGGGTGCAGATAAGTTAGCATAAGGATGCTAATTCTAAAGAATGTCTTTGGCCCTGGCCAGATAGCTCAGTTGATTAGAGCATAGTCCTGATACTCCAAAGTTTTGGGTTCCATCCCTGGTCAGGGCACATACAAGGAACAACCAATGAATGCATAAAAAGTGGAACAACAAATATGAAAATAAAAGAATGTCTAATTTTCAGTCATAATGTCTGTTTTCCTGTTAGCTTTGCAAACTGTTGTTTGGGATACAGTGCTGCTTTAGGCACAGTCCAAAGGTTATTTTGCTCAGTTTTAACATTCCAAAGGGTTGAGGAGTAAAACTTGTGAGGCAGTCCCTCTAGGATGACAGCTCTGATTCCATTTTGAAGTGGATCTGTTTATATTATTTTATACACACTAATGGGGCAATTAGCTGAGCCAGGTGTTTCAGGTATCCAATTAGGATAAATGGAGAGACCCAGAAGAAATGATACTACGTGAATGCGGTGTCCGAGGCTACACCATGTGTATACCTGGCATGTCTAGTGGGCATGTCTAGTGGGTGAAGGACTCCAAAAATAACATTGCTATTTCCCTGGGGCAGCTTTCTTAGTGCTTGTTTCTTTGACACATGTCAACTAGTTGTTCAGTACATAGATGCTCAGAACTCCAGCCAGATATAATGCAGAGATGAGCAAAGTCTGTAAATAATTTTAATTCCCTTTAAAAAAAACTTCATAGACGAAGTAATGAGACAAATAGGAAATAGGAGTCGGGGGTTGGGGCTGGGAATTTATATGTTTGTAATCACAGCTTAGAAAAAGGCTTAATATTCTCAATAGGAATGGTCCTGATGCATGAGATTATGAGCAAGTGAAATGATCAGGCAAAATTTTCAAAGATGATTTTTGGTGTTGTAGATCCTCACCCAAGGATATTTTTCCATTGATTTTTAGATAGAGTGGAGGGAGGGAGGAAGGGAGGAACAGAGAGAGATATATCGATGTGAGAGAGAAACATCGATTGGTTGCCTCCTACATGACCCCCACCAGGGCCAGGGATCCAGGTATGTGCCCTTGACCAACATTGGAACCTACAACGCTTTGGTGAGCCAAACCAGCCAGGGCCAAAGATGATCTTTTTAAAAAGTTAAATAGCCTGACCAGTGTGGTTCGGTGGGTTGAGTGTTATCCCATGAAGTGAGAGGTCCTGGTTCGATTCCCAGTCAGGGCACATGCCTGGGTTGCAGGCTTGATCCCCCTCCCTCACATCAGTTTTTCTGTTCCTGTCTAAAAAATCAATAAAAACATAAAAAATAAAATAAAATAGTTAAATAAGTGGAAGCTTTTAAAAAGAGCTCTTTTTATCATTTACCAATTACCCAACGTTTAAAAAATAAGATAATGTCAAGTTTTGGGCGGAGTATGGAGAATCAGAGACACTTCTGCTCTCTTAAAGGAAAACTTAATTGTGAAAATTGCTATAATACTAGCAAAACAAAGGTGCATATTTTTTGGCAGTGAAATTGCCACTTCTTGGCTGAGATTTACATAAAAATGTTTTGTGCATCAATATCAACAATTTAAATAATTTAAGTTAATTGCATTATTTAATTTTTTGGTATGGTTAAATATATTACAGATCATCACTTTTATGAAACACCTTGCAGCCATGAATAATGATAGTTATAATAGTGATGGCTGGCATTTATTGAGTGCTTAACATGTCAGATACTGTCCTAAATCCTGTACATATTCTCATTTAATCCCTTCAAGTATGCTGTGATGTAGTTATACAGATGAAGAAATTGAGATATTGAGGAGTTAAGTGACTTGTCCAAGGTGACAAAGCCTTAGAGTATGAACTGAGGCCATCTGTCTCCAGAGCCTGAGAGCCTGTACTCTTAACTTTAACACTGAGTGCCACTGCAATTGACAGATATAGCAGTTCCTGAGAACAGAGAATGAATGTATACCGGCCCCAGAAGGGTCTTGAAGACTTGTTCGATTGGCCAACATTGAAGAAATAGTGGTACTATCCAGGGAGAGAAGGAGATAGGCACTGTTAAATACTGTTGAATCTAAATTAACTCAATTTCTTAACATCTGGCACTAATTGTAAAACGTGTATGCCATGATTCAATTAAAAAAAATTTTTTTGCGTTGATTTCTTAGAGAGAGGGATAGATAGAAACGTTGATGTGAGAGATACATACATTGACTGCCTCCTGCATGCTCCTGGGGACCAAGCCCACAATCCAGCCATGTGCCCTGACCGGGAGTCGAACCAGGACTTCTCAGTCCATGGGACGCCACTCAATCCACTGAGCCAAATCGAGCAGGCTTTTTAATTTTTTTTTTTCTTTATTGATCTTTAGATAGAGAGGAAAGGAGAGGGAGAGAGACAGAAACATTGATGAGAGAGAACATCGATTGGCCACCTCTTGCATTCCCCCTGACTAGGGATTTGGCCCACAACCTGGGCATGTGCCCTGACCGGGAATTGGACTGGCATCCTTGTGGTGCATGGGTCGATGCTCAACCACTGAGCCACACTAGCTGGACTGTATGCCATGATTTAACAGACTCTTCTATAGGTTGGCTTTATTTATGTATTTTTAAATTTTTGTTTATTGATTTGAGAGAGAAGGAGAGACATCTATTTGTTGTTCCACTTATTTATGCATTCATTGATTTATTCTTGTGTGTGCCTTGACCAGGGATCAAACCTGGTTTATTGGGATGATGCTCTTACAAATTAAGCTACCCAGCCAGGGCTCTAGATGCTTTATTTAACTACATAAAGGGTACCACGTTAAATGTACACAAGATTTTTTTATGTATCTCTTGGTTCCTTCCTCTCCCTCCATTTATGGTGTGATTATGGAAGCAGAAGAGGAGAAAATCTATTAAAAAGGGTTTTTAGGCCCTGGCCGGTTTGGCTCAGCGGTTGGAGCGTCAGCCTGCGGACCAGAGAGTCCCAGGTTCAGTTCCCTCTAGGGGCAGGTACCAACAAAAAAAGAGTTGTTAGGGTCCTTAGAGTCTGGAACAACTTCCTATATATCTTCTCCACCTGCTCAGTGCTGCTCTCTTCCCAGTTCTGAGATTGAGGTTACCTGTGTTTGGTGTAGGAAGGGGTGACATTCAAGGATGTGGCTGTGGTCTTTACCGAGGAGGAGCTGGGGCTGCTGGACCCTGTCCAATGGAAGCTGTACCGAGACGTGATGCTAGAGAACTTTCAGAACCTGGTCTCATTGGGTGAGTATAGGCGCCTTCATAACGTAACTTCATCCATTGATCAGGGTTTCCCATTCGGCACTGTTGCTGACCAGGCCAGATAATTGTTGTAAGTACTTGACCCGACCCGTCCCGCAGGTCCAGCAACGAGGGGGAGTGAGGATGAGGAGGGACAAGAGACACGGGAAATGGAGACAAGACAGGGCTCTGATCAAGTCTCATTTATTCAGGGGTAATTCACACAATATATAGGGCAAGAAGCACCTTTTGCCAAGCACCAAGCTTGCCCGAAGCAATTCCAGGAAATACTACAAAAGGAACAAAAGGTCAGTAAAGACTGGCTTGATGAGTAAATGGTTACTTAAAGAAATGCAAAATGCAGAGATAAAGAAATGCAGAATGCAGAGATATCCTGCCTTGGGGCAGGCGATGGCAGAGCAGATTTTATCAAAATTGATGCCATGCAAAAAGTCTCCCACAAGTACTATCCTCACATAAAATGTTGTGAGCATTTTAGGATGTTTGGTAGCATCCTGGCCTCTGTCCACTACTTTAAAACTTCTGGACCCCATAGAGACCAGAGTTTTCCAGTCTATTTGGAACATAGAGACAAGACATTGCTAGTCTTTGTTTCAAGGTAAACATTTTGTCTTTTGTAAATTAATTATAAATGAACAGTTGAGCTTGGCTGTACCTGGCTCCTTATTTCACGTTTTTTTGTTTTTTTTTAAATCATTACTTAAGAATACCTTTTTACTGATTTTAAAGAGAGAGGAACGTTGATCACTTGTTTCCCATATGCTCAGCCTGGGTATGTGCCCTGACTGGGAATTAAACCCATGACCTTTCAGTGTACAGGATGACACTCCAACCAACCTAGCCACATTGGCTAGGGCTCATATATTTTTTATTAAACTTGTAGGTCATGAAATTAGTAAGTTACATCGAAATATTTGATAAACACTGCTTTGGGGGAGAGGCAGAGCCTTACATCATGGGATTGGAACCGAAATTTTTTTCAGTACTTTTTACCTTTAATTTTTTTACTTAAATCTTGTCTTTTCACAGGACATCTGTCCTCTAAACCAGATGTGATATCCCAGTTGGAGAGAGAGGAACATCTTTGTATTACGCAGATCCAAACTCAAAGAGGTGGGCATTCAGGAGGGAACTGGGCAGCTGGAGTCCTTGAAGGTAACAGCTCGTTACTCTGTTTCTCTTCTGGGTGATCAGTTTTCCACAGAGACCCGAGAGACCCTTTGAAAACATCAGTCACAAGCCCTGGTTGGGGAGCTCAGTTGGTTAGAGTGTCTTCTGGATACACTAAAGTTGCGGGTTCTGTCCTTGATCAGGTCCCATACAAAAATCAGCCAATGACTGCATTGTCTTTCTCTCTCTCTTCCTTTCTCTCTCTCCCTCCTTCCCTCTTCCTTCCTCTTTCAAATCAATAAATAAATTAAAAAAGAACATCAATCACGTTATGTCTCTCTGCTTCGACACCCTCCACTGGCTTTTCATTTCACTCAGAAGAAAACCCGCCCTGGCAGGTTTGGCTCAGCAGTTGGAGCGTCAGCCTGCGGTCCAGAGAGACCTGGGTTCAGTTCCCGCTAAGGGCACATACCTCGGTTGCAGTTTGTCCTCGGCCCTGGTTGGGTCGTGCGGGTGGCAACCACTCGATGTGTCCCTTTCATGTCGATGTTTATCTCCCTCCCTCCCACTCAATCTGAACAAAATATGGAAAGGTGTCCTCGGGTGAGGATTAAAAAAAACAACAACAACAAACCCCAAAGTATTTAGGGGCCTGGAAGACCCTGTCATGTTTGCTCATTCACCTGGCTGTACCACTCTATATTTTTCTCCTGTCATTCTCCTCCCTTTGACCCTGCCAGCGTTAACTGTTCCTGACATCTGGCGATGATGCTTCTGCGTCAGGATCTTTTACTTTCTTTTCTCTGGTTGGATTGCTGCTTTCCCACGAATCCCCAACCACTCTTATTCACTCTAGTCTCTGCTCAGAAGTCATTTCATCCAAGTCCTTCTGTGTCTGCTCCATTTAAAATATTGCCCTGGCCTGTTTTTCTCAGTGGTTAGAGCATCAGCCCGCAGACCAATGAATCGCAGGTTCAATTCCGGTCAAGGGCAGGCATCTCGGATGCAATTTGTCCCCGGCCCTGGTTGGGGCCGTGTGGGAGGCAACCAGTCGATGTGTCCCTCTCACGTTGATGTTTCTCTGCCTCCTTCCCACTCTATCTGAAGATAAATGGAAAAATGTCCTCGGGTGAGGAATGAAAAAAAAAAAAATGTCTTTCCTTCACTCTCTACATCCATAACTTGCATTAATTTGTGTTTAAGCACTACACCAACAGACTTAATAGTGTGTATGTCTGTCTGTGTGTATTTTTTAATTGTGATAAAATATACATAAAATAAAATTTATCATTCTAACCTTCTTAATGTACAGTCTGGTATTAAGTACATTAATATTGTTGTGCAACCATCAGTGCTATTCATCTCCAGAACTTTTCCCCAAACCGAACCTCTGTAGTCATTAAACAATGACTCCCCATCTTCCCTCTCCCTAGTCCCAGTAACCACTGGTCTACTTTCTGTCTCTGTCTCTCTGAATTTGACTACTCCATGGACCTCATTATAAGTGAAATCATACAGTATTTTTACTTCTTATTTTATTCTTGTGTTTTTAGAGAGAGAGAGATCAGTTTGTTGTTCCACTTATTTATGCATTCGTCAGTTGTTTCTTGATGCCCTGTCCAGGGATTGAACCCGCAACCTTGGAATATCGGGTGATGCTGTAACCAACTGAGCTACCTGGCCAGGGCTAGTATTTGTACTACTTTTGTGTCTGGTTTGTTTCATTTAGCATAACTTCTTCAAGGTTCATCTGTATTATAGCATGTGTCAAAATTTCTTTTTTAAGGCTACATAATGTTGCATTGTATGCATGTTTCTCATTTCTTTTCATCCATTGATGGACATTCTGGTTGTTTGCCTAATACTCAATTCCCAAGTATTTTATTCTTTTTGATGCTATTGTAAATGAAATTGTTTTCTTAATTTTCTTCTGGTTGTTATGAATAATGCTGCTGTGAATAAGGGTGTACAGATATCTGCTCAAATCCCTGCTATCCATTTCTTTGTGTATATACCCAGAGTAGTATTGCTGGATCATAATTAAAATTCTATTTTTAATTTTTCAGGAACCCCCATACTGTTTTTCATAGTAGGTATATCACTTACATCCCCACCAGCAATACACAAGGGTTCCAGTTTGCCCCATCCTCACCAATACTTGCCCCCTCTACCTTTAAAAAAAATAATAGCCATCTTAATGGGTGTGAAGAGGTATCTCAGTGTTTTGTTTTGCATTTCCCTAATGATTAGTGATGTTGAGCATCTTTTCATGTGCCTGTTGACTATTTGTATATCTTTGGAGAAATGTCTAGTCAAGTCTTGTGCTCATTTTATTTTTTAATGACAATTTACATTCAATATTATTTTGCATTAGTTTCAGATGTACAGCATCGTGGTCAGACAATCATACATTTCACAGAGTTCCCTGGTATCTTTTGCTCATGTTTGAATCAGGGTGTTTTTATGTTGTTGAATTTTAGGAGTTCTCTTTGTGGTCTGAATATCCCATATCAGATATAAGATTTGCAAGTATCCTGTCTGTGGCTCTTTTACTCTGTTCATAGGCCTTTTTACTCTTCTGATGCACAAAAGTTCTTTATTTTATGAAAGTGAATTTATTTCTTGTTATTGCCTGTGCCTTTGGTGTCATATCTAAGAATGCATTGCCAAATGCAATGTTGTGAGGATTTTGCCCTGTTTTCTTCTAAGAGTGTTATAGTTCAGCATGACATGAAGCCACAGTCCTTCAAGCATTTCTGAGGTGCATCGTCCCAGGACTGTGTGTTCAGAATTCTAGTTCCCCCATGTATATGGCTACTTTGCAACATGTTAATTCCCCTGAGAGTCTCACTCCTGCTTTTCTTTGGAGCCTTAGATTTCTGTTCTACGCCTGTATTTTCTTGCCCACACGTCTGCAAATTCCCTGCAGTTCTCATGTCAAACCTGATATGAAAAACTGAGCCCCTATTCCCATTGGCACTCAGTCAAGCGAGACAGAAACCAGTCCCATGGGACTCTCCAAACCCCCCCACCCCACCCCCCAGAACACATAAGCAAGTTCTGTTCTTTACTTTCCACCCTGAGGTGGGAACCTGGAATAGGGCAGCCTCCTCCCAGTCTTAACCCCCACACTGTGCCGGTAAGGGTGAGGCACATGGAGAAACTAGGACATTGGATGGTTTTTGAGTTCAGGTTCTTTTGGTTAGATGTTCCCTTGGTTGTTGGCAGTTTCTCAACTGGTGTTTAAAGTTGTTCAAAGTGATTTTTTTCCCATTTTGTTTGTTTATTTGGTGTTCTGTGTGGGAATAAGAGCTGGAGCTCCCTACTCTGCCTTCATGCTTACATCTCTCTCCTTCGGTCCTTTAAGCAGGTATAAGACCATGGTTAGTGTTTTAATGTATTTGTCTGATACTGACACCTGTTTCTTTATGGATGTTTTACCTACTTTATTTTCTGTTTTGGATAGGCCCTTTTTTCCTGTTTCTTTTATGCTGTTATTGTTGAAAATTGAGCATTGAAGAAAAAAGCCCCCTCTACCAGTCTTTGCTGACTGGTGCTTTTCCAGGGAAGCCTAATGGGCAAGGTGTGTTCTGAGCCTTGGGATCTGCCCTGCGTAAGGGCTTAAGGTCTCCTGAGGTTTTTTTCTAAACTAATGAAAAGGCATACACACAGACCCAGGAAAGTCAAGTCCCTCATACACAGATGCTTTTAAATCCATTAATCTCCCCAAAAGTGCCACCATAGCTTCTCTTGCACTTAGATGTTCTAGAGCAGTGGTTCTCAACCTGTGAGTCATCAGCCCTTTGGGGGTCGAATGACCCTTTCACAAGTGTCGCCTAAGACCATTTACAAGTAGTTACGTACAGAGTAGAATGGTAAAACGCACTCACACAGCCCCAAGCAAGACACACCCTTAAAAAGACCTGAGAACACCTTATACCTTCAATCTGCGATAGTCCCAAATATCATACCTTTTAATGTGGCTTTTTCTCAACAGGGTGCTCTCTTGGTTATTGTAGACCTTGGACTGTTTTTCAGAACTCTCACACTTATTTTAGCTAGTCTCTAGTATTTGTTTTTGCTTTTGAGTATTTCAGTGGGGGAATAAGGGCTTGGGGGTTTCAGGCCCACTTTCTTGCTTGCTGATGTCACTCTCTGTCCTTAATTCTTTCAGGAGGCAGGAATGAAGATGAGATGGAGACTCTTTATGAAGCAGGAGTAAGGTGCCTTTCATTGGGAGAACTTTCATGCTGTCAAGTAAGGAGACATGTTGTGAGTAAATTAATGAAAAGTCAAGTCTCCATTCTACATATTCAAGAAAAGAGCTCCCAATTCCCCAAACAACATAATCCCCCCGGTAAGGTGGGGACAGGACTATCCATTCCGGCTGATGTGGAAGATGGCTGTATCATGAATCTTATACAGAATCATTCCAGTATTAATGAAAATCAAGAATTTTCAATAGAGAGAGCCCAGAATTCTTGGAGTGAAATATATCTGAATGAGACACAGAATTATCAGAGAAGCTGTAAGCAGACGCCAATGAAAAACAAGTTATGTATATTTGTTCCATGTGCTACCATCTTCAGTTGTAATTCATACCACCATGATGACGATATAGTACACACAGGGGAAAAAGCTCCCAGCAACAAAGATTATGGTGAAGACATCTCAAAGATGCCACCTCTTGCCCAGCTGAGTATAATCAACACAGGACAGAAAACTTACCAGTGTAATCAGTGTGAAAAATCATTCAATGACAGTTCCAGTCTTGAAGTTCATCAGCAGGTACACTTGGGAAAGCAGTCCCTTACCTATAGTACACATGAGGATACCAGTTTCAGCTCAGCCATTCCTGTTCAACAATATGTTCACGCAAGAAAGAAACGCTATTGGTGTCATGAATGTGGGAAGGGTTTTAGTCAGAGCTCAAACCTGCAAACGCATCAAAGAGTCCACACAGGGGAGAAACCCTATTCGTGCCTCGAGTGTGGTAAGAGCTTTAATCAGACCTCACATCTGTATGCTCACTTGCCCGTTCACACAGGAGAGAAGCCCTATAGATGTGAGAGTTGTGGGAAGGGCTTCAGTCGTAGCACAGATCTTAATATTCATTGCAGAGTCCACACTGGAGAGAAACCTTATAAATGTGACATATGTGGAAAGGGCTTCACTCAGAGATCACATCTTCAGGCCCATGAAAGAATCCACACTGGAGAGAAACCGTATAAATGTGCAGATTGTGGTAAACGCTTCAGCTGTAGCTCAAATCTCCATACCCATCAGAGAGTCCACACGGAAGAGAAACCATACAGATGTGATGAGTGTGGGAAATGCTTTAGTCTGAGCTTTAATCTTCACAGTCACCAACGAGTCCACACGGGCGAGAAACCATATAAATGTGAAGAGTGTGGTAAAGGTTTTAGCTCAGCCTCAAGTTTCCAGAGCCATCAGAGGGTTCACACGGGAGAGAAACCATTTCGCTGCAATGTGTGTGGTAAAGGCTTCAGCCAGAGTTCATATTTTCAAGCCCATCAGAGAGTTCACACTGGAGAAAAGCCATACAAATGTGAGGTGTGTGGAAAGCGCTTCAACTGGAGCTTGAATCTTCACAATCATCAGAGAGTCCACACAGGAGAGAAACCCTACAAATGTGAAGAGTGTGGTAAAGGTTTCAGTCAGGCCTCCAATCTTCAGGCTCATCAGAGTGTCCACACTGGGGAAAAGCCATTCAAATGTGATGCATGTCAGAAGCGATTCAGTCAGTCTTCACATCTTCAAGCCCACCAGAGAGTTCACACTGGAGAGAAGCCATATAAATGTGAAACTTGTGGGAAGGCCTTCAGCCAGAGGTCAAATCTTCAAGTCCATCAAATAATTCACACTGGGGAGAAACCATTTAAATGTGAGCAGTGTGGGAAAGAATTCAGTTGGAGTGCTGGGCTCAGTGCTCATCAGAGGGTCCACACAGGAGAGAAACCCTACATGTGTCAGCAGTGTGGTAAGGGCTTCAGTCAGGCCTCCCATTTTCACACACATCAGAGGGTCCACACTGGGGAGAGACCTTACATATGCGATGTGTGTTGTAAGGGCTTCAGCCAGAGATCACATCTTGTATATCATCAGAGAATTCATACGGGAGGGAATCTATAGAAATGTGAGGTGTGGCATAGCCTTTTTTAGAATTCACATCTTCATCTCCATTAGAAAGTCTATGCTAGTGATTGTGGAAAGCTCCTTCAGAACTCAGAAGCTTGAGGAATTGTCACAGGAAAGCTGCTCTATAAAATGTGTTTTAGGAACTCAGCTAGGAGATGAACTCTATAAACATCAGATTTTACACATGAGAGAAAGCTGGCTTTATAAATATGGTGTTTATACCAGAGTTTTCTTTTTTTTTTTTTTTAAATGATTTTTTTTATCCTCACCCAAGGACAATTTTTTGTTTTTTGTTCAGATAGAGGGAGAGGGAGAGAGAGAGAGAGAGAGAAACATCGACATGAAAGGGACACATTGAGTGGTTGCCACCTGCACACCCCAAACAAGGCCGGGGACAAACCGCAACCGAGGTACGTGCCCTTAGCGGGAACCGAACCCAAGTCTCTCTGGACCGCAGGCCGGCACTCTAACACTGAGCCAAACTGGTCAGGGCTATATCAGAGTTTTCTGTGTCAAGCTCTGAAGATGAACACACCATAAGAATCTTACATTTCATTGGAGTCTATCCAGAAGAGAGGGCTTATGTTAAGGACTCTTTATAAAAGTATAATGACGGACAAATAAAATTGAAGTCAACTACATTGTAACTTCCACATGGGTTTAGGGGTGTTTCTCACCACTGTGTCTGCCTTGTAGAACTACTTGGCTTGTAGTAAGTGCCCAGCAATAACTGAACAAAGTAGAGAAAATCATGTTAGGACAAAATCTGAAAATTCTACTCAGTTCCCTATGGTAAATCCACCACAGCATCCTAAAAAATCATATTGTGGATGCTGCCATCCACAATAATACAAATTAATATCAACAGGACTTCTGAATGGCTCCCATTCCCCACCTAGCCTCAGTTCTTTGTACAGTGTTATCTGTATGTACAGTATAATATTTAATCATGAGTTTGTATTTTATGGACTGAAGAGTACTGGTTTTTATTAATCTAATATACTGAATTTATACGAATGAAAATTTGGAACACTAATTCATTAAGGTACAGTTTTACTCTATCTCTTTGAAAATGTTAAAAGTAGTCACTAATGACAAAGTTTTAGTAAACATGAATTGTTAATAATGGTTTCTTCTCATTTTCATGCTTAGAATAGAGTGCCTTCTCTATGCACAGTGCTTCCTTCATCCAGCCCTTTTTAGGCAGGGGCTTTGGCAGATTTGAAGTCTATTTTGTCACACACCACCCTCATATTTCCTGCTAAAATGGGGAGGGAGAAGCAGGACAAGGAAGTTGTTTAATTTTTATTAAAATCTCATTAACGGGAACAATTTAGGTAAATTGTCATTTCACAGCATTCTGTGTTCAACACTTTTTTTTTTTTTTTTAGTTTTCCCCCCCTTTTATCGATTTTTAGAGAGAGGAAGAGAGATAGAAACTGATGAGAACATCGATTGGCCGCCTCCTGCATGTCCCCCACTGGGGATCAGGCCCCACAACCTGGACATGTGCCCTAACTGGGAATCAAACCGGCAACCTCTTGGTTCATGGGTCAACACTCAACCACTGAGCCACACCAGCCAGACTAACACCTCTTGATAGAAGCAAACATTAGCTGGTCAATATGTATCAAAATACCCTTTGGCCTGGCAGTTTTGCTTAGGAGACTATAGAAGTGAGACAAATCATACACAAAGATGTTTATATTGAATTCTATCAAAGAAAATATCTAAAATATTAGAATAAATTTGTTCAAATACTATACAGCCATGAAAAATATGACAGACTGTGGTGAAGACTGGGCTGCATAGGCCTATTAAAGAGGACATTTTTCCTTTTTTTTGTTCAGATAGAGTGGGAGTGAGAGAGAGAGAAACATTGCCCTGGCCAGTTTGGCTCAGTGGTTGGAACGTTGGCCTGTGGAACAAAGAGTTCCGGGTTCAGTTCCCGCTAGGGGCACTTACCAAAAATAAAAAAAGAGAAACATCGATGTGAAAGAGACACATCGAATGGTCACCACCCGCATGACTCAATCAGAGCCAGAGACAAACTGCACCCAAGGTATGCACCCTTAGTGGGAACCGAACCCAGGTCTCTCTGGACCACAGACCGATGCTCTTAACTGCTGAGCCAAACCTACCAGGGCTGACCTTTCTTTTGTGTTAAACAAAAACTGCTGTGAGTCTTTGTTTCATTGAACAATACTTGAGTGATGACTAAACGCAGCCCTTAGGGTGCTTTGGAGGAGTTGTGAGTTTATCTGTGTAAGGCGGGGCTCGAACCTGCACTTTGGATCAGTTCTCCATAAATGAGGATGACTAGGATGACCATTGCTCCCACCTACCAGAGGGTAAGGCTGAGGTTCGGTGAGCTGTGACTCCACTTTGTCACCAGGCTGCTCTGAAGACAAGAACTGGGGGGGCACCCTCTTGGGATAAGTGACAGGTAAGGCCAGCAGAGTATTTGTTTCCTACGGTGCCTGTAAATAGGACAAACTTACCTTAAAGCAACAGAAATGTGTTCCCGGGTCGTTATGGAGGTCAGAAGTCCAAAGTGAGACTTCCTGGGAGAACACTGGGGTGTCACAGAGCTGGTTCTCCTGCAGCTGCTGCTGGGGAATCCATTTCTCGTGGCTTCCAGGTTCTTGAGGGTGCTTGTGACCCATCCTCCTCCTTCCAAGCCAGGTGCACAGCATCTCTGCTCCTGACTACCATCCTCCGATAAAGCCTTTGGAATTACACTGGGCTCACTGGATAATCCAGAATATTCTGCCCATCTCATACTTTAACCTAATCACACCTGCGAAGTCCCTTTTGCCATAGAAGGGAACATGTTGATGGGTTCAGGGACTAGGACATGGGCATTGTAGGGGTCCGTATTCAGCCAAAAAGTAAAGGACAGACAGACACAGGAAACGGAGCCAGTGCCTGCTGCCCTGTGAGCTGCTTCACCAGAAAACAACGCAAAGTGTGGTTTCTAGGGCCCCATCTTGGAGGTTCTAACACTGACTCCCTTCCTCTGCCTCATTGCCTCATCCATATAAATGGAAGATAACTTTCTCCCAGGGTTCTTGTGAATAGTTACACAGTTAAATATACATATCGCACACACAGCTGGGCACATGGTATTTGAGGCATGGTACCTGTTACTGCTAGTTTCTCTCAACATGGAGAAGACTCACACCCTAATTCCCTCTCTGGCTCCAGGGAAGTTGATGCCTTCTGCTCAGTTAACAACTGGGATATACGTGGAGATCTGACAATTCCAGGTGTATAGTGGAAAAAACTCACAGATCAAATGAGGCTCTGAAGAGCCTGGCTCAGTTTTGTCCATGACGTCCAGCAATGTTCCACTGCTAGACCCAGCTCCACAGATCTGGCTTTTCTGAGTCCTCAAGCCCTCTCACCTCTTTGTTCAGGCCCTTGGCTCCACCTGGGAGGCCTGCTTTCATGTGCCCTTCAAAACACAACTCAGGTGTTGTCTCTAAGAAGCCTTCCATCACCCTCCAGGGGTACTTGATTAATTAAACTCCTGTGTTGCCTGAGGCAATTCTTACTCAGCTTTGTATGGCCAGTCCCTCAAACCTATGAAGAGCAGAAGGCACAATGAATGGAGGAATGAATGAGCCCACAACCGAACAGCGGTGGTGTGGTCTAAGTGACAGTGGAGATTCCCAGGTCAGGGGGCTTGGACAGCAGCAGTTTCCGTTTCTAGGTTCTTCCAGGTTTCTTACTTACCTAGTGTTCTCCGGCACCTAGAGGACATCTCTGGGCCATCTCTGCAGACATAAGACATTTCCAGTTGAAGCCCCACTTGGACACCTGCTCCTCCCTGCCTTCTCCCCCCGCAAATTTCCTGCTAGCCCTTCTTACCCTGCCTTCTGAAAGAAAAGTGCTTTTCTCTTTAAATGTGAGACACTTGCAGATTCTGAAATGGGAGCATTCTCCCTAATCCATGTCTTTAAAAAAAAAATGATTATAGAGAGGAAGGGACAGGCACAGATAGAAACATCGATGAGCAAAAATATCGATTGGCCGCCTCCTGCATGCCCCCCACTGGGGATAGGACCCACAACCTGGGCATATGACCTGACCGGGAATCGAACCAGCGACCTCTTGGTGCATGGGTCAATGCCTCATAAGTTATGTAAATGTGTACCTCCTATGCTGTACACCTGAAACTAATATAATATTGTATGTCAGCTGTAATTGAAAAAAAATTTTAAGGAAAGAAATGCCACACACACACACACACACACACACACACACACACTGGGCAAGCATCCATCTCTCAGAGTCAGGCATCTGAAGTTCCAAGAGTTCATTAGCAACTAAAAACTGCTTTTTTTAGAGAGAAAGGAAGGGAGAGAGAGTCAGAGACATTGATGATCGGCTGCCCCCAGCACACCCCCTATTGGGGATTGAGCCCACAATCCAGGCACCAGGACCTCTCAGTCCACGGGAGGACCCTCAATCCACTGAGCTACACCCGTTGGGTTAAAAACTGCTTTTGAAAACTCCGAAAGTGCATCTCCGCATAAAGATGATCTCTTTTCTCATGTTGACTCCCCATTTCCCCAGAGGCTCCAACAGGCAAGACTCAGATCATCAGTTACAGACACTTATTCTATTCCTGAAATTCAGTTTAAATTTCAAGGTGCACACTGGCAGCAGGAAGCAAGGGAGTTGTGGCCCTGACACTCTTCTTTGTAGCTTTCCCTGACTGGGGGGTCCCACTAGCGTTTATGAAGTTATAATCATGTAAACATTTACACCCATTTTTTATTATACATTTAGGTGCAAGAGCAACAAATTGCAAGGCCACATTTTAAAAAGTCTCTTCCCCTCGTTGCAAAGTCAATTCAAACCCCAAGCACTAAATTAGGCATTTACCAGATTGACAACAGCTGGGGAGGAAGTTTGTGACAGCTGTGTACTTGCTGCCGGGCAAGTTCAGTGTTTGTTTTTTTTCTTTTATCCTCACCCGAGGACATTTTTCCATTTTTTTGTTCAGATAGAGTGGGAGGGAGAAAGAAGAAGAAGAGAGAGAGAGGTGAAGGGGCACATTGAGTGGCTGCCACCCGCACGACCGACCAGGGCCAGGGACAAACTGCAACCGGCGCCCTTAGCGGGAACTGAACCCGGGTCTCTCTGGACTGCAGGCTGACGCTCTAACCGCTGAGCCCAACTGGT